AAAAAACACTGCTGCCAATATAAAATGTAACTAAAAAATTCCTTTGTTTTTTTCCAATAGTTGACTAACAGTTGCTTAAAGCCTATGTGGGCAGATGAAGATTTTCATTACCTCATTATTACAGTCAAAAAACAGAACGAAAGATACATCTGCCTTCCCATCCATGGTCTTGTTCCAACCTTGAAGGTTGTCTTGATTTCTTGGAAACCCATCAATCAAGAATTTATTCTTCTGAGCATTGGCAGCCATTGTCTGATCCATTTCCTAAAGGAAAAAGAAGATTTAGGTTCAATACTACATTAACAAAATGAAATTTCTCAAGCATGGTAGTGTATACATGGGTGTTTGTTTTATTATTATTATTTAAACCCTAAGTAAAGGGTGGAGGGTACATAGCAAAAAAAGACTAGAAGGAAATCTATCAATGTATTAACATGGTTGCCTCAAGCTGGTGTGGTTATGGGTATGTGCTCCTCTCACAACCATCTCATTTTTACACACAATTTTTTTCTATGGTTTCCAAATTTTCTACAGTTAAGTGTATGTTACTTTCACATACACATTCACAAAGTTATAAATAAGCAATAAAAGCAGCAATAAGAGGAAAATAACCATTAACCATTATCTTTGCTTCAGCAACTAGAGACCCGGTCTTGTGTTCCCTTTGCTCTTCCCAAGTCGTTTTGCTGTAGTGGAAAGTATATTACTTCTACAGGTGCTCAACTCTGCTATTCATGTAATTCAAGTCCAACAACACAAAGCTTTGGACAAATATAAAAGACCATTAGCATTAATTATTAATGTAGGATAAAATACTTTTTAATGGAAGCTAATTAAACCCAAATGTCACTGGCTGCCCCAAAACAAAGGGAACAAAAGAACACATTCAGAAAGATAGCAAGAACAACCCATTTCACCATCCTCTTCCAAAGCGTGAATTTAGGTAGAATGTGGGAATATGTAAATATGAGACAGAAATCTCAAATCTCCAAATCCTTGCCACTTCAATCACCACAGGATAAGCGCAAGTACATGACTGTAATAAACCTTAGAGGAGCCTCTATTCCAAAACGAACTGACATTCAGTACTCTCAAGTTCAAACTTCTCCGGTTCCTCAAGAACAATGGCTGTCAGGACCCATGATCCCTTTATCTGAGAATTGGTTTTAACCTATCATCTAGCTTCTTTGATATTTGCAAAACTTCAGCAGAATGCTTTTGGGCCTCTGCTATAGCCTTTCTACCACAACTAGGGTAGTGGAAGATATCTGAAGAACGCACATCAATATCATACTCATTCAGCATACACTCATTCGAGGTCTACCATCAGGGAACATGAAGAGCAAGGTCATGACTCTTGTCCCTGGGGGGAGTCACAGTTGAGTGCACGACAAATATGTATACACACATGTGCTAAGTTCTATAATCAAGTATGCAAAGGATGCTATAGTAAAACAAAGAAGTCAGCACAAACTGCAAGGAAACTGCCAAAGAAAGCTTTTCCAAAGAAGTGGCAGTGGAACTGAATCCTGAATAATGAAATGGCACGTGTAGGCAGATAGGGATCAGCGTCCTCCAGATAGTGGAAACTGGAAATATAAATGAGAAAGCAAAACTGCTTAAATGAATCTATTAGCCGGCACAACTGACTCTTAGGATATGTGTGGAGAGTGGTGGGAGATATGACTGGAAAGTAAGCAAGGAGTAAGACTCATGAAGAACTTTGTATGAGACACCAAGGAGTTTGAGTGTTATTCTGGAAGCAATAGAGGAACATTTAAGAATTTTAGGCAGTAAAATAACAGGCTCATATTGCCTTTTAGAAAAAAAATCACTCTGACTGCACTGAAGAGGATTAATCAGAAGGGGACAGAGATGGATTAAAAGCAAAAAGACTAACTAGGAGTCTCTACTGATAGTCCAGGTAAGAAAAAAAGAGGATGTGGCCGGGTGCAGTGGCTCACACCTGTAATCCTAGTACTTTGAGAGGCCAAGGTGGGTAGATCATGAGGTCAGGAGTCCAAGACCAGCCTGGCCAAGACGGTGAAACCCCATCTCTATTAAAAATACAAAAATTAGCTGGGCATGGTGGCTGGTACCTGTAATCCCAGCTACTCAAGAGGCTGAGGCAGAGAATTACTTGAACCCAGAAGGTGCAGGTTGCAGTGAGCCGAGATTGTGCCACTGCACTCCAGCCTGGGTGACAGAGCGAGACTCTGCCTCAAAAAAAAAAAAAACAAAAGAAAAAAAGAGGATGTGAACTAAGGTGATAGTAATGATAGAGAAGAGACTAACAGAAGAGGATTAAAAGAAAGATAATTGGAAAGATATGCTCACTGAATGGATTTGGGAAAGTAAGGAAAAGGCAGGAGATATAGATTGATTCCCAGATTTCTGCCTTGAATGGCTAGGTAGATGGTAGAACCATTAAGCAAGACAGGAAGCAAAGGAAGATCACATTTTAGACAATACACTCAGCCTCTGACATGCTGATTTTGAGACACTTGTGAGACATTCAGATAGAGGCCTAGTAGTCAGGTAATTAAAAATATATGTCTAGAATTCAAAACATTTTGTTTTAGAGCTATAGACTTTAGCAACATTAGCATAGTGAAAGCTTTGGGTATGGCTAAAACCATCCAGAAAGAAACACATAAAATGAGAGCCGAAGAAGACCAAGTATAAAACCCCGAGAAGCATCATGGTTTTGGAAACTTGCAAAAGAATAACTATTAAAGAGGATTGAGAAATAGCAGTCACTCAGTAGGGAGAAGAAAAAGAGATGCTGTCATAAAGAACAACAGAGGAATGATTTTCAAACAGACTGATCAGAGTTAACTACTACAAGAAAAATAATGACTAAAAGTATTATTTGATAGAGATCATCATTGGTAACATGCAAGAGCAGCTGCAATGGAGATGGAAACAGAATCTGACTGCAAAGGGTTAAAAAGTAGAGAGTGAAAAAGTAAAAACCATATAGTCTGCTCTTTCACAATGCTTTCTCTGCTTTATAGAGCAGAGAAAGGACATTAGAGAGAGGGAATGGGGAGAGAGGATTTGTTTATTTTGCAACGGAAGCAGGTTACTTCAACCTCTGAGACAAGATGTAAGAAAGTGTTTATGAGCCACTTTTCATCCCCAATGTCTTTAGTTCCAACCAGATGCTTATATAGCTCTTTTCCATCAGGCTTCAGCTATTTCTTGTTGTTCCCAATATTGCACTTCTTTTTCTTCCTCACTGTTCTTATATGTGAAAATACCTGTTAATGATTATAGTTTTAGGAATCTAGAATGAAAAGTTACCTAGTAAATACAAGGTGTCTGTTTTTCAGATGTGACATACATTCATTCATTCATTCATTCATTCATTCATTCATTCATTCGAGACAGAGTTTCGCTCATGTTTCCCTGACTGGAGTGCAGTGGCTTGATCCCGGCTCACTGCAACCTCCACCTCCCGGGTTCAAGCGATTCTCCTGCCTCAGCCTCCTGTGTAGCTGGGATTACAGGAACTTGCCACCACGCCTGGCTAATTTTTGTATTTTTAGTAGAGATGGGGTTTCACCATGTTGGCCAGGTTGGTCTTGAACTCCTGACCTCGTGATTCACCCACCTTGGCTTCCTAAAGTGCTGGGATTACAGGTGTGAGCCACCATGCCCGGACTTTTTTTTTTTTAAGAGATGGAGTTTCACTCTGTCACCCAGCTTGGCGTGCAGTAGCATGATCTCAGCTCACCAAAACCTCTGCCTCCCAGGTTCACGCCATTCTTCTGCCTCAGCCCCCCGAGTAACTGGGATTACAGGTGTATGCCACCACACTTGGCTAATTTTTTATATTTTTTGGTAGAGACGGGGTTTCACCATGTTGGCCAGACTGGTCTCGAACTCCTGACCTCAAGTGATCTCCCTGCCTCGGCCTCCCAAAGTGCTAGGATTACAGGCATCAGCCACTGCACCAAGCCTCAGATGTGACATATTTTAGTTTTGAAAGCTATTAAGTCTTAGCATTTCACATTGAAGCTGGTGATGCACCAGAAAAGTAGACACCATGGCTGAGCGAACATCAATGATGAGAAGGACGTGGGTTAAAAAAGAGGAAGGGCCATGCGCTGTGGCTCACGCTGTAATCCCAGCACTTTGGGAGGCCGAGGAGGGTGGATCATGAGGTCAGGAGAGCGAGACCATCCTGGCTAACACAGTGAAATCTCGTCTCTACTAAAAAATTTAAAAAAAAAATTCACCGGGCATGTTGGTGGGCGCCTGTAGTCCCAGCTACTCGGAAGGCTGAGGCAGGAGAATGGCGTGAACCCAGGAGACGGAGCTTGCAGTGACTCGAGTTTGCGCCACTGCACTCCAGCCTGGGCGACAGAGCGAAACTCCATCTCCAAAATACAAAAAACAAAAAACAAAAACACGAGAAAGAAGAAAGAGGTTTAGGGGCCAGGCACGGTGGCTCACGCCTGTAATCCTAGCACTTTGGGAGGCTGAGGCGGGCAGATCACCAGGTCAAGAGATCGAGATCATCCTGGCCAACATGGTGAAACCACGTCTCTACTAAAAATACAAAAATTAGCTGGGCGTGGTAGTGCACACCTGTAATCCCAGCTACTCTGGAGGCTGAGACAGGAGAATCTCCTGAACCCGGGAGGCGAAGGTTGCAGTGAGCCAAGATTGCGCCACTGTACTCCAGCCTGGCAACAGAGTGAGACTCTAACTCAAAACAAAACAAAACAAAAAAGAACAAAAGAAAGCAAAAAAGAAAAGGGAGCAGGGGAGGGAGGATAAAAGAAGAAACAGAAATGGAAGAGAGTAACTGTCTGAATGTTGGGAAGAAAGGACCAAGTGCACATAAATGGATGTTAAGTTGAGCTACAGGTGATCCTAAATCAAAGTAGAGAATCCTTGCCACGGTCCGATTTCTTCCCAGGTGAAAGCAAAGTTTCTAGTTCTGCCATTCTCAAGCATAACCACCTTCCACAAGCAAGAAATTCAATACTCGGAGCCACATGTGGTGGCTCTCTCCTGTAATCCCAGCACTTTGGGAGGCCGAGGTGAGAGGATCACTTCAGCCCAGGAGTTCCAGCCTAGCCTAGGCAACATAGTGAGACCCTGTCTCCACAAAAAGTAGAAAAAAATTAGTTGGGTGTGGTGGCATGTACCTGTAGTCCCAGCTATTCAGGTGGCTGAGGTGGGAAGATGGCTTAAGCCTGGAGGGTTGAGGCTGCAGTGAGCTATGATCAGGACACTACACACCAGCCTGGGTGACAAAGACACTGTCTCAAAACAAAACAAAACTTTTGATATTTTTCATTACACACATGAAAGGTGGATTTATTTTTATTATTAATGTTGTTTGTTTATTTATTTTTGAGAGGAGGTCTCACTATGTTTCCCAGGCTGGACTTGAACTTCTGGGGTCAAGCAATCCTTCTGCCTCAGTCTCACAAGCAGCTGGGACTACAGGCATATGCCACCACTCCTGGCTTTTAAAAAAATTTTTTTGTAGAGATGGGGTTTCACTAGGTTGTCCAGGCTGGTCTTGAATTCCCAGCCTCAAGTGATCCTCTTGCCTTGGCTTCCCAAAGTGCTGGGATTACAAGTATGAGCAACTGCCTGGCCAAAAGGTAAATTTAATTTCTTGTTTCCTCGCTGGTTTGAACTGGTTGGCATTCATTCACACTCCTTACCCTCTTTAATAAACTGATGGTTATCTCAACTGGTACAATCTTTCCTTCTTTAATGTACTTTTCAATAAGTTCACCATACTGTGAATCTGGGTTCTTCCTTTCATCACGAAGCAGCTCTCCTGCAGAAAGGTGTGTGTAGCCATATTTCTGGAAGAAGCACACATAAGAAAAATATCAGAATTCATTCAACCCAGTGGTGGGATTATACTTTTTTCCTTTGTATCAATTTCTATATTCTAATTTTTCTACAATAAAGAAGTTTTGCTTGTATGTTAAATAATAAAGAAAAATTTAAGATATTTCACATAATCCAGTTTCTTAATGGGTATCTTTATTCTTCATAGCTATAATGTTCATGTAAATATATCCTGGCTGGGCACAGTGGCTCATGCCTGTAATCCCAACATTTTGGGAGGACGAGGTGGGTGGATCATGAGGTCAGGAGTTCGAGACCAGCCTGAACAACATGGTGAAACCCTGTCTCTGTTAAAAATACAAAAAATTAGCCAGGTGTGGTTGCGGGTGCCTGTAATCCCAGCTACTCGGGAGGCAGAAGAATGGCTTGAATCTGGGAGGCGGAGCTTGCAGTGAGCCGAGATCGCACCACTGCACTCCAGCCTGGGTGACAGAGCAAGACCCCGTCTCAAA